CTTGCTGCTGCAGCAAACCCTTGACCAGCAGCTCGTTTTCTGCTTCGTGAACCACTTCGCCAGCCTCTGCGCACAAACCCTAAACCCTAAACCCTAAACCCTAAACCCTAAACCCTAAACCCTAGTTCCTGAACCCTGAGGTGGCACAAAGGGCGCTGAAGCTGCGAAGGCTTAGAGAAGAAATAAAATAAACTGAAAGAAAGAGGCCTGGGTCCGTTCGGGCACAAAAGGGTTTAGGGTTTAGGGTTTAGGGTTTGGCGGCTCACCTATAATTGATTCCGGAGGGCCCTGGTTAAAGCCTGTGAAACGAAACAGCAAACCCCAACAGCAGCAGCAACTGCTGCTGCAGCTGCTGCAGCTTGCTTTGCTGCAACGCTTCGAGCAACGGCTTAGGGTTTAGGGTTTAGGGTTTAGGGTTTAGGGTTTAGGGTTTACCGGCGCCACCCCCTCCTCTGCCCCCTCTAAACCCTCCGCGGCCTCCTCGGGCCCCTCGAAAACCCCCGCGGCCTCCGCGGCCACTCATCTGCAGCAGCAGCAGCAGCAGCAGCAGCAGCAGCAGCAGCAGCAGCAGCTGGGGGTTTACTGCAGCAACTGCTGCTGTGGCTGCTGCTGCTTGCTGAGTACTTGCTGCTGGAGAGGCCTACGCAGCTTGGAAAGGCCCAAACCAAAACCCTAAACCCTAAACCCTAAACCCTAAACCCTCGCGGTTTACCTTGCGCAATTACTTCAGTAGAGCCTCTGTGGGCTCCTGAACCCTAAAAGTGAGAAAACCTCGACGTTGGGCTTCGTAGACTTTAGGGTTTAGGGTTTAGGGTTTAGGGTTTAGGGTTTAGGGTTTAGGGTTTGGCTATGCTGCGATTGGGGGTCGGGCCACCCGCCTTGATGCAGCAAATAGAGCAGCAGCAGCAGCAGCTGCAGCAGCAGCAGCAGCAGGAAGCAGTAGAACTGAAATATTTGTTGCCTAGACTAACAATTCAAATAAACTTCGGCTCGTAAACCCTAAATCTTAAACCCTAAACCCTAAACCCTAAACCCTCGAACTGGTTGGGGCCCCCTGCATGCGGCGTGGGGCTTCGATGCAGCTTAAACCCTAAACACTAAACCCTAAACCCTAAACTAGCGATAAGAATTTAACCCTTAGAGTTATTTTGTTGAAATTCGAAAAAGGCAACTGAATGTAAACCCTAAACCCTAAACCCTAAACCCTAAACCCTAAACCCTAAGCCCTAAACGCGCAATCCTAGCCCCGAGCCCTAGAACTTTTGATCCAACGCAACTGCAATTAGGGTTTAGGGTATAAATTTTAGGTTTTAGGGTTTCAAATTTGTGGTTTAGGGTTTAGGGTTTAGGGTTTAGGGTTTTTGCTTTTCTGTGTGTGAGACTGCTGCTCTGGTTTATCTCCCCGCTACTCTCTAAACCCTAAACTCTAAACTCTAAACCCTAAACCCCAAGCCTAAAACCCTAAACCTCAAAACCCAAACCCTAAACCCTAAACCCTAAACCCTAAACCCTAAACCCTAAGAACAAGCTTGGTGTGACAAAGAAAGTTTCCTGCGACGTAACAGCGCAACCTCTAAGCTGCAGCTAGTTAGCTGAAACTCACTGCAGCAGCAAGCTGCAGCAAGCTGCAGCAAGCTGCAGCAAGCTGCAGCAAGCTGCAGCAAGCTGCAGCAAGCTGCAGGTAGCCGCAGCTAGCTAGCTGCGGCTAGCTAGCTGAAGCTAGCTGCGGCTAGGTAGCTGAAGCTAGCTGGCTGCACCTAGCTAGCTAGCTAGCTAGCTAGATGCTGAGACTAGCTAGCTGTAGCTAGCTGCAGCCACCTAGCTAGCAAGCTGGCTAGCTAGCTCCTAGGACTGGCTAGCCAATACTTAGCTAGCTGCAGCTAGCTGCAGCTAGCTAAGTAGCTACCTAGCTGGCTGCTGGGGCCAGCCAGTTGCAGCTAGCTGCAACTAGCTAGCCATCTGCAGTCGGCCAAAGCTTCCTAGCTAGCTTAAGTCAGCTGCAGCTAGCTAGCTAGCTGCATGTAGCTAGCTAGCTAGCTCGCAGGACCAGCTAGCTGCAGCTAGATAGCGGAAGACTTGCAGCATTCTAGGTTTAGCTAGCTGTGGCTAGCTGCTAGCTAGCTAGCTATAGCTAGCTAGCTAGCTACAGCTAGCTAGCTACAGCTAGCTAGCTGCAGCTGCAGCTAGCTGCGCGGCATGGTGGCATTTTGAGGTGTATGTACACTTGAATGAGTTCAAAAAGATGCAAATATAATAAAATCATTTTTAGAAATAAATAGAAATGCATTTAAATCTGCTGCTGCTTTGTTTCAATTTTTAAATAAATTAAAAAGAAATAAAAATAAAAAAGAATTAAAAAGGAGCAGCAGAAAAGGCTCGTTTTACGCGAGGTGTACGTACACCCCAATTCGCTGACTTGAGCCGCTCTTCGAATTTTGCATTTAGGAAATAAATGAATAAATGAATAAATAAATAAATAAATAAATAAATAAATAATAAGTAAATAAATAACAAGTAAATAAATAAATAAACAAATAAATAACTAAATAAATTATATAAATAAATAATATAAATAAATAAATAGATGAATAATGTGTAAACAAATAAATAAATATATAAATATATAAATAATAAGTAAGTTAATAAATAAATGAGTAAATAAATAGTAAATAAATAAGTAAATAAATAAATAAATAAATAAATAATATAAATAAAATAAATAAATAAATAAATAAATAAATAATATAAATAAATAAATTATATGAATAAATAAATGGATAAATAATAAACAAATTAATAAATGAATAAATATTAATTGTTTTGTTTTGTTTCTTTTTTTTTTCCAAGTGATAAACTTGTTAAGCTTTGTGGCCGAAGTAATTTAAAAAAATTTGAAGTGAAATGCAAATAAAAGATAAATAAAATAAAAATAAAAATAAAAATAAAAATAAAAAATATGATTAAATACTTTAAATTATATTATTTCAAATATTCAATTAAACAATTAAACAAATAATTAAATAATTAATTAATTTAAATGAACAAGAAAGAATGCTTTGAGGGAATGCAAAACTGAAAGAAAAGAGTAAACAGCCAAAAGCTCAATTGCCTCCACCCTAAACCCTAAACCCTAAACCCTAAACCCTAAACCCTAAACCCTAGACAAGCAGTTCGATTGTGCGCTTGCCTCAGTGCATTCACTGAAGGCGCCGTAGGAGTTTTAATGCCCGGCCCCACATAAACCCTTACGGCCTAGGGTTTAGGGTTTAGGGTTTAGGGTTTAGGGTTTAGGGTTTAGGGTTTCTAGGGCCTCTCCTTCCCAGCAGCAAACGTGAAAACTTAAAAACGAAAAAGCAGCTCGGGGGCCCCCAGCAGCAAATCACAGAACCCATAAGGGGCCCCCAAGGGTACTGGGGGCCCCCCAGAGGATCCTAGAGGGTACTGGGGGCCCCCCAGGGGCCCTAGAGGGTACTGGGGGCCCCCTAGAGGGACCTAGAGGGTACTTGGGGGCCCCCAGGGGGCCCTTAAGGGTACTGGGGGGCCCCCAGAGGGCCTAGAGGTACTTAGGGGCCCCCCTATGGGGTCATAGTGTACTGAGGGGCCCTTTAAGGGCCCCCAGGGGGCCCTAAAGAGGGCTTGGGGGGCCCCCTTGGGGCCCCAAAGGGTACTGGGGGGCCCCCTAAGGACTATGAGGATTACTGGGGGCCCCTAAAGGGCCTTAAGGGCACCGGGGGGCCCCTACAGGCACTAAAAGGGTACCGAGGGGCCCCCTGGGGGCCCTCAAGGGAACTGGGGGGCCTCCAGGGGGCCCCAGGGGGCCCCCAGGGGGCCTTTAAGGGCACTGAGGGGCCCCCATGGGGCACAAAAGGGTACTGGAAGGTCCACAAGGGGACAAAAAGGGTACTGGGGGCCCCCCGGGGGCCCCCAAAGATTTAGAGGGGCCCCCAGGGGGCCCTGCAGGCTGCTGGGGGCCCCCCCAGGGGCCCACAGGGTACTAAGGGGGCCCCTAGATGCAATTAAAGGGTATTGGGGGCCCTTGGGGGCCCCAAAGGGTACTGGGGGCCCCCCGGGGGGCCCCGGGGGCCCTGGGGAGGTGTTGGGTTTTGCTGTTCTGGCTGCAGATTGAGAATGAGGGTTTAGGGTTTAGGGCTTAGGGTTTAGGGTTTAGGGTTTAGGGTTTTCTAGGGCTAAGTTCCGCTAGGGTTTAGGGTTTGGGAGATAGGAGGGTTTGGGGTTTCTGGAGAGGGCGAGAGCCACCGGTCTGTCCGCTGTCGGCGGCGGTTAGGGTTTAGGGTTTGAGATTAGGGTTTAGGGTTTAGGGTTTAGGGTTTGTTGAGCCGTCTGATAGCAATAAACTCGAAAGAGCGAATCGATTCTGCAGCAGGAGGAAGTCATGGGGATTAGGGTTTAGGGTTTAGGCCCTAGGGTTTAGGGTTTAGGGTTTGCGCGGGTCGCTGGCGAGGCGGCGACGGCGGCGCCGCCGAGGGTTTAGGGTTTAGGGTTTAGGGTTTGGGGTGCTGCTCTCGTCCTTTGTTGATTTAATTAAAACCCTTATTTTTATTTTAGAGGTTTTCTGCTGCTTAAGGGTTTAGGGTTTTCGCGGGGTCTCCGGCTGCTGGCAGCAGCGGCCCCGTGACTGGGGTTTAGGGTTTAGGGTTTAGGGTTTAGGGTTTACGGCGCCTTCAACGGCTTCTCACTCTCCCCGCCCCCAAAGCCTTTCTAAATGAATATCCCTCTAGGGTTTAGAGACAAACCCTCGTTTCTCTAAACCCTCTAAACCGCCGTCGACTCTGCGGCGGCGCTGGCTGAGGGTTTAGGGTTTAGGGTTTAGGGTTTAGGGTTTGCGGGGCCTTCTGGCGCGCCTGCAGGGCAACTTTGTCTCAGCGGCTCCCTCTGCTCCAGTACACCAGCGAGGAGAACCCAACGAAGGCTCTAGGGTTTAGGGTTTAGGGTTTAGGGTTTAGGGTTTAGGGTTTGGGGTTTAGGGTTTAGGGTTTAGGATGGGGAACCTTCTCGACAGCGAGTGTATAGACAAGACAGCCATCTGCAGCTGTCTTCGCCCGGAGCAGCAAACAGAGGAGGGGGCCCTGGAAGTTCCTGCTGCTGCTGCTGCTGCTGCTGCTGCTGCTGCTGCTGCTGCTGCTGCACCGGACACGAACTACCAACGCGCAGCCGACGCAGCAAAAGCAGCAGCGAGGCCGCGCAGCAGCAGCAGCAGCAGCAGCAGCAGCAAAGGAGCAGCAGGAAAAGCAGCAGCTGGGGCTAAGAAGACCCCCAAGAAAGGGTCTCGCTCGAAAGATCCTGCTGCTGCAGCACCTGCTGCTGCTGCTGCTGCTCCTGCTGCTGCTGCTCCTGCTGCAGACCGCGATGCTGCTGCTGCTCCGGCCGAAGCTTCTAAGCCAGCAGCAGCAGCAGCAGCAGCAGCAGCAGCAAAAGGACGAGAGGCAGCGGCAGCAGAAGCGCCTTCCGCTGCACCTGCCGGGCCTCCACCATCGTCCGCTCCAGCAGCAGCAGCAGCAGCAGCAGCAGCAGCAGCAGCAGCAGCAGCAGACACAAAGTGGATTGCGGGGTCTTTGTCTCTCCCAGTAGATCTGCATGTGCTGCAGCAGGTGGCTCGAGAGCCTTTTGTTATTCAGCAGCTGCTGCTGCAGTCTGTTTTCAATAAGTGGGACCCCCAAGGCACAGGTTTGCTGCTGCTGCTGCTGCTGCTGCTGCTGCTGCTGCTGCTGCTGCTGCTTCGCGTGCTGCTGCTGCTGTTAATGCTGGTGCTGCTGCTGCTGCTGCTGCTGTGCTTTTACTGTTGCTGCGTGTGGCGCCAGTACTGCCGCTGCCGCAGTTGCTGCTGTTGCTGCTGTTGAGGCTGCTGTTGCTGCTGCAGGGGTTGCTGTTGCTGCTGCTGCTGCTGCTGCTGTTGTTGCTGCTGCTGCTGCTTTGTTTTGTTGCTGCTGCTGCTGCTGAATGTGGCTGCGCTGCTGCAGCTTACACCTGTACCTCTCCCATGCTCACTCTCTTCCTTGCTGCTCCTGTTGCTGCTGCTGCTGCTGCTGCTGTTGCTGCTGCTGCTGCTGCTGCTGCTGCTGCTGCTGCTTAGGTTTATCTTTGGACAGCCTGCACCTGGTAGTCTCTTTTCTTTCTGAATGGACTTGCTGCTCAAACCCTAGAGAAGCAGAAGACCGCCTTTTTGGCTTCTTGGGCAATGATTCCAGTAAACCCTAAACCCTAAACCCTAAACCCTAAACCCTAAACCCTAAACCTTAGAACCTGGTCTGCTGACAGTCGGTGCCCCCCCTGCTTTGCTGCTAAACACAAGAGAGTCACCAGGGTGCTCTGCTGCAGCAGCAACAGCAGCCACACCTGCAGCAGCAACAGCAGCAGCAGCAGCAGCAGCAGCAGCAGCAGCAGCAGCAGCAACTTTGCTGTGTGGGGCCTCATTTGGGGTGTCTATACAGCTCTTTCCGCTTCTTCTTTTGTCTCTCTGGTGGAGTCTGTAAATGAATTTGAGGCAGCAGCAGCAGCAGAAGCCTTCCAGCAGCTGCAGCAGCAGCAGCAGCAGCAGGAGCAGCAGCAGCAAGACCAACTCGCTGTTGACCTCCCTGATGCGAGAGCAGGTACACTACTGCTGCTGCTGCAGCAGCTGCTGCTGCTGCAGCAGCAGCTGCTGCTCTTGCTGTTGTGGCGAAAGCCCCCGATCATTTGCGTGCAGCGCGTTTGCTGCTGCTGCTGCTGTTGCTGCTGCTGCTGCTGTTGCTGCTGCTGCTGCTGCTGTTGCTGCTGCCTCTACAAACTCCCGTGCGCCTCTCCTCTGCTGCTGCTGCTGCTGCTGCTGCTGCTGCTGCTGCAGCACTGTTTGAGCTTTGCGAGACTACCCTTGGGGGCGGCTGGCTGGAAGCAGCAGCAACAGAAGTGCTGCTGGATGCAATCTGCAGCGCAGCAGATTATCAGCTGCTGCTGCAGGACTTCGTAGCTTTGCTGCAGTCACTTGCTGCTGCTGTGAGGGACCTTAACTTGCTCTACAGATACAAGCAGCAGCAGCAGCAGCAGCAGCAGCAGCAGACGGAGTAGAAGCACCTGCAGCAGCAGCAGCTGCGGCGGCAGCAGCAGCAGCAGATGGTGCAGCAGCAGCAGAAGCTGCAGCCGAACAACTGGGAGGGAACAAAGTGCAGCAACTAACCAAGTAGCAGCAGCAGCTACTGCAGCAGCAGCTGCTGCAGCAGCAGCTGCTGCAGCAGCAGCTGCTGTAGCAGCAGCTGCCCCAATAACAACAACAACAGCAGCAGCAGCAGCAGCAAAAGCAACTATGGCTGTTATATGGGGTCTTGCCCCACCGCTATTGGGGGCCCCTTGGGGGCCCGTTGGGGCCCCCTTGGGGGCCCCCTGGGGGCCCCCTTGGGGGCCCCCTTGGGGCCCCCTTGGGGGCCCCTGGGGGCCCCTGGGGGCCCCCTGGGGGCCCCTGGGGGGGCCCTAAACAACGAGGGCTCTACTGGGAGTTGCTTATGGATGCTTAGAGACAGAAAAGCCGAGGGTTTGGGGTTTAGGGTTTAGGGTTTAGGGTTTAGCAGCAAGGGTTGAGGCCTAACGGGAGCAGCTTTAGGTGTGCTGCGGCAGTGGCTAGGGTTTGGACAGAGCCGCAAGGAGGGTTTAGGGTTTGAAGATTTAGGGTTTAGGGTTTAGGGTTTAGGGTTTGGGGGATGCGTGCACACCTCAGACCACACAGATCAGCCACTGGGGCCCCGGGGGGCCCCCGGGGGCCCCAAAGCAGCAATTAAGAGGATTTAAATGGATTTAATTTAATTTAAAAACAAAAATAAATAAATAATTAAATTATTTAATTCAAAAAAGCAATTTAGGGTCCTCCAGAGGGCCTCATTGGCTCGAGGCGCTTCCACCTCAGGGGGCCCCGCGGGGGCCCCTGTGTCTGTGGCGCAGCAGCAGCAGCAGCAGCAGCAGCCCCTGCAGCAGCAGCAGCAGCAGCGAGGCAAGCCCTCAGTTTATTTTAAAGTGGAGGGCAGGCACTGGGCGTACAATCGGAGAAAGCTGCAGCAGCAGCAGCAGCAGCAGTTGCTGCTGCTGCTGCAACCCCACCCCAGTAACCACACAGCAGCAACAACAGCAGCAGCAGCAGCAGCAATCCGTCTCGGGCCCGCATGTCTTAGCTGTGACTGGGCCTGCAGCAGCAGCCGCAGCAGCACTGCAGCAGCAGCAGCAGCAGCAGCAAACTGCCGCAGCAGAGGCCGACGCAACAGCAGCAGCTGCAGCAGCAGCAGCAGCAGCAGAATCTGATGGCTACAGGTTACACAGAGATGGAGGAGCTGTTTAGAAAAAGCACAGAGGCAGCAGCAGCTGCTGCTGCTTCACCTGCTGCTGCTGCTGCTGCTCTTGTCCCCGAAGCCTCAGCAGCAGCAGCAATTGGTGCAGACAGCAGCAGCAGCAGCAACAGCAGCAGCAGCAGCAGCACTGCGGATGGCCGCAAGCGTGGGGGCCCCGCTGCTGCTGCAGAAGAGCAGCTGCCGGCTCGCCGCCGCCGCGTTCCAGCAGCAGCAGCAGCAGCAGCAGCAACAGAAGCAGCAGCAGCAGAAGCAGCAGCAGGCTCTCCAACTGCTTCTCATTCGGGCCTACAGCATTCACCAATATCTGCTGCTGCTGCTTCTGCTGCTGCTGAAGCACCAACTGCAGCAGCAGACGGCCAAAGCGAAGGGACACCCAGCAGCAGCAGCAGCAGCAGCAGCAGCAACAGCAGCAGCAGCAGCAGGAACTCCGGCGGCTGGGTCCCGTTTACAGGCGCAGCAGAGAATAGTGGCGCCTTTCTGAACGCTGGGTTGCAGCAGCAACAGCAGCAGCAGCAGCAGCAGCAACAGCAGCAGCAGCAGCAGCAGCAGCAGCAGCAGCAGCAGCTGGAGGAGCAGCAGCAGCAGGAAACTCCAGAGGCTGAGAGCACCGACACATTTTATTCTGCTCCTCAAACTCCTCGCGCTGCTTCTTCGGAAAGAATTGGTGGTGCTGCTTCTCCTGCTGCAGCAGCAGCAGCAGCAGCAGTTGCTGCTGCTGCTGCTGCTGCTCCGTCTGCGATTGCTGGGGTTGCGTCTGCTCGTGCTGAAGCAGCAGCAGCAGCAGCAGCAGCAGCAGCAGCAGCAGACGAACAGCAAGTGGAAGACATCATTTGCTGCTCACAGGGCTCTCTGAGTGCACTGAACAGCCAACAGAACTCAGCAGCAGCAGCAGCAGCAGCAGCAGCAGCAGCAGCAACAGCAGCAACAGGATCCTGTGGGGGATTGCTGACCTCTCAGCCTTTTCCTCTCTCCCTTTTTGACACACAGCCTGAGCAGCTGCTGCTAGAGCAGCAGCAGCAGCAGCAACTGCAGCAGCAAGAGCAGCAGCAAGAGCAGCAGCGGCTGCTGCAGCAGCAGCAACACCAGCAAGAGCAGCAGCGACAGCAGCAGCAGCTCCCATTCTACCTGCAGAACTTTGCAAGCGTGGTCTCATCTGCCCCGCCAGCTGCAGCAGCAACAGCAGCAACTGCTGCTGCTGCTGCTGCTGCTGCTGCTGGTGGGGGCCCGCCCGACTTGCCGTGGGACAGCAGCAGCAACACCCGCAGCAGCAGCAGCAGCAGCAGCAGCAGCAGCAGCAGATATGCTCTTAAAGGCTCTGTTGCTGCGCTGCTGGCCCACTGCAGCGGCTGTGAGCCCAAAGCCAACAGAATAGAAGACGCTTTGCTGCTGGTGCTGCGGCTGGAGGCTCTGCAGCAGCAGCAGCAGCAGCAGCAGCAGCAGCAACAGCAGCAGCAGCAGCAGCAGCAACAGCAGGAAGTGGAAACGATGCAGCAGTGGAAATTCGTGCTGCTGCAAGTCGGAGGAAACTTCGTCAAGTACCTAAATATCCTTCTCCGAGAGGGAGTAAGCAGCAGCAGCAGCAGCAGCAGCAGCAGCAGCAGCAGCAGCAAACGCAGCAGCAGCCACAGCAGCAGCACTAGCTGTGACGGCAGTAGCAGCAGCAGCAACGGCACCGGCCCATCCACAAAGGCAACCAAGCACAAAGCTCAAAGCAGCTGCGTAGATTCAGGTGCCTAAATGTTAAACCCTAGGGGGCCCCCCTTCAAACCCTAAACCCTAAACCCTAAACCCTAGGGGGCCCCCTAAACCCTAGGGGGCCCCTAAACCCTAGGGGCGCCTGTACGGCTGCTGCGAGGGTTTAGGACTTGTGGAAATGGCAGCTTAAGCACTGGAGGGCCCCAGGGGTTGCAGGGAATAAGTTGTGCTGCAGCAGCAGCAGCAGCAGCAACAGCAACAGCAGCAGCAGCAGCAGCAGCAGCAGCAGTAGCAGCAGCAGCAGCACTTGCTGGGGTAGCAGGTCGTTGTAATGTGGGCTAAAGGCATTTCTGCAGCAGCAGCAGCAGCAGCAACATCGTCCCAAGAACAGCAGCATTAGTCTGTTGCTGCTGCTGCTGCTGCACTGCTGCTGCTGCTGCTGCTGCTGCTGCTGCTGCTGCTGCTGCAGGTCCATGTACGGCCCCCAGGAGTAGCAGCAGCTCTGCTGCTGAACGGCTGCTGCTTCAGGGGCCCCTGTGTGGCCCTGAGGGCCCCCCAGTGGCTGCAGCAGCGGCTGCCGAGGGCTTTGCTGCAGCACTTGCTGCTGCAGCTGCAGCAGCAGCAGCAGCAGCAGGAAGGCGACGCAGAGGAGCCTGCTGCGCTCGCAGCAGCAGGGGAGCACACCCAGCAGCAGCAGCAGCAGCAGCAGCAGCAGCAGCAGCAGCAGCAGAGGCCAAGGGCTGGGAAGCCGCACATATACACCCCGCTGTCTCACATACAGAAAAGTGATGTAGTAAGAAGAGGCTGAGCCTGGGCTCATCAGGGTTTAGGGTTTAGGGTTTAGGGTTAGGGGGTGAGGGTTTAGGGTTTAGGGTTTAGGGTTTAGGGTTTAGGGTTTAGGGCTTTCTGCGTGCTTCAGGTCGACGTCTACTGTGTGTACTGGGAAATGAGGAGAGCCCCTCAAGAAACCGACAGTGGGTTTGGAATTTGGGGTTTAGGGTTTAGGGTTTAGGGTTTGGAATTTAGGGTTTAGGGTTTAGGGTTTAGGGCTAAAGATAAGCTCGGAAGCACAGCTTTCGGGGACTGTGAGCTTACTGGAAGCTCTGTAACCCTCAGGCCGCTGCGACCCACAGCTTAGGGTTTAGGGTTTAGGGTTTAGGGTTTAGGGTTTAGGGTTTAGGGTTTGGGGTTTCTGCAGCTGTGTGCTACATGAACGTGAGGGTCGTCGACGATTCTCTTCCTGTGCCTATTGACCGCAACAAGGCAGCAGAGTTTAGCCTCCAGGTATCTAGGGTTTAGGGTTTAGGGTTTAGGGTTTAGGGTTTAGGGTTTAGGGTTTAGGGTTTAGGGTTTGGGGCACAGAGGCGTCTAGGGTTCACTTTCATTCGC